AGGGGCCCCATTTAGTCCCTCCAAGTCCAGGCCTTTCATCGTAGAAGTTCCCCCCTGCCCGCACTCTGCCCGCCGGCCGCCGCCTGTGTCCCAGCGGCATTTCCTGGGGCAGAACCCCCACTCCCCTGAGATTTCCATCCCTCTCCCCCCGCCAACCCCCACCATAAAACGCACAGGCAGCAGCAGCACAACGACAACAGCCCCCACCCCTTCAGACCATCATGCAGTTAAAGGGGAAAAAGGCAAAGAGGCTCCCCAGCCTCCCCAGGTCCTTGCCACGGGGCACCCTTTGCAGCCGTGCCGGGGACCGCGGCAGGGCCCCTCCTCGCCGGGGCAGCTGTGAGCTCTGGCGGCGGCCAGGCGAGCCTCACGCCCATCGCTCTCCCTGCTGCCTGCCTTTGGCTGCAGGAGCGCGCCTTGGCTTGGCCCCAGCCCGCATGGCTCAGGGCCGGCTCCCCCCAGAGACCCCCGCACCCCTCGCACAGGGTCCGGGCTTTCCTCCCTCTCCTGGGTCTCGGTGCACGGGCGACGCTTCGGGTCCCTCCCCCTGCAGTGGTGCCAAGCGCAGCACCAGTGCTGGTACCCCGCGGGGCATGGGGCTGGTGCCAGGAGCCAAGCGGCTGCTCTCCGTGCCGGGAGAGCCCCGGCATTGCCAGTGGCATATCGGAGTCGGCCGTGGTCCCTGGCACGTCCCAAGTGGCTGCTCCCTCGGTCCCCATCCTGCTCCTTCTCCAAAAGCATTTTCCAGACACAACCCAGCTCCCACCTTGGCGCTGGGGAGTGGGATGCTCACCAGCCGTCGGCACGGCGCAAGCCCCCGCCTGCCAGCGCGGTGCCCCGCTAACCCCCACCTGCCGCTCTCCCCTTCCCTCCCCGGCAGAGACGGTGCGAGCCATGACCCACGTCATCAACCAGGGGATGGCCATGTACTGGGGGACCTCGCGCTGGAGCTCCATGGAGATCATGGTAGGGGCCTGGGGGGTCGGGGGCGGCCATGGCGGAGCAGCCCCAGTGCCAGCCGTGACACTGATTTAATTAGACAGCAGCTGTCGGGAGCCAAGCACTTGCAGATGCGCTTGAGCCTTAATTATTTGTCAGGGCAGCTCCTGGGGCTCAGCTGGGAGCTCGGGGGGGCGGAAGGGGGCTCGGGCGGGCGGCC